CCTCCTTTCAGGTAGTTGTAGAGGGCAATGAGGTCTCCCCTCAGCCTCCTCTTCTCCAAACTAAACGTGCCCAGTTCCCTCAGCCTCTCCTCGTAGGACTTGTTCTCCAGACCCCTCCCCAGCTTGGTGGCTCTCCTCTGGACACGCTCCAGCACTTCAATGTCTTTCCTGTAGTGAGGGGCCCAAAACTGAACACAGCCCTGGAGGTGAGGCCTCACCAGGGCCCAGTACAGAGGCACCATGACTTCCCTACTCCTGCTGGCCACGCTGTTCTTGATACGAGCCAGGATGCCATTGGCCTTCTTGGCCACCTGGGCACACTGCTGGCTCATGTTAAGCCTGCTGTCCACCAACACCCCCAGGTCCTTTTCTTCTGGGCAGCTCCAGCCACTCTTCCCCAAGCCTGGAGGTAGCGTTGACCAAAATGCAGGACCCGGCACTTGGCCTTATTGAACCTCATCCCTTGGCCCATTGATCCATCCTGTCCAGATCCCTCTGTAGAGCCTTCCGACCCTCAAGCAGATCAACACTCCCACCCAGTTTGGTGTCATCTGCAAACTTACTGAGGGTGCATTCGATCCCCTCGTCCAGATCATCGTTAAAGATATTGAACAAGACTGGCCCCAGAACCGAGCCCTGAGGGACACCACTGGTGACCGGCCACCAACCAGATCTAGCTCCATTGATCACAACTCGCTGGGTACAGATGGACAGACAGAGGTCAGGACATACCCCCAACCTCTTATTTCTCCTCCTTTCATTTCCCCCGACTCACCCTCACGTCGCTCTTCTGCGCGGCGTGGGGCACGATGATGGGGCCCTCCAGCTCGGCCGCCCCGATGACGCTGCCGCGGTTGCCCAGGGTGAAGACGGTGTTGCGGTTCTTCAGCGAGGGCTTGGAGAAGAAACGTGATGGGAAAGGAGAGGGGACACACAGGAGATAACGGGGGTCAAGGAAATAACAAGGTGGCCCCGGTCCCCTCCCTCAAACCCCCCCCATCTTCATCCCCACACACAACCCCAGGATATCTTTCTTGGCCGTGTCCTCCACGCCCATGAGATCGTCCTTCTCCGCCACCTCCTCGTACTGCGGGGACAAAACGGGAAGGGATCAGTGCCTGAAGCGCGTCCCCCCCCATGTCCCCAAGGCCACCTTATGTCCCTCCAGCCCCTCAACCCCCTCCCCAACCTGGATCTTCATCAGGCGGCTGGTGTAGGATTTGAAGTAGGAGAGGTAGATCTTGCTCATGGTGTCCACGTACTGCTCCCGCAGCTCCTGCGCCACCGTCCGCTCGTTGCCCAGCAGGAACTGGTAGAAAAACCTGCCCGGGGAGGTGAGGAGATGTTGGGGTACCCCCACCCTTCCTCCCTGCACCCCCATTTCCTTCCCCAGCACCCCACCTGTACTTCAACAAGGCGTTTTGGGGGATCTGGTAGTTGGTCATGGGCTTGCGGAAGGAGTAGATCTTCTGCAGGACGAACTCGCGGATCTTGGTGACGGCCTTGGGGTGGGGGACAGGACACAGGGATGGGTTGGATGGAGGGGTGCTGAGGGGGTCTCCTGGGTGCTGGGGGAGGTGCGTGGGGTCTCGTCACCTTAATCTTGAGCTTCTCCAGGACGTGCTGGACGTCGGCGCAGGCCACGGTCTCCCGGAAGGCCTGCTCCTTCACCGAGTTGATTTTCCCGTTGAGCTCCTGCAGCTGCTCCAGGAATTCCGGCTCCGTCACCGGCGCCTCCAGGATGGTGCTGCGAGGTGACAGGGAGGTGACAGGAGGTGACAAGGAGGTGACAGGAGGGGACAGGGAGGTGGCAACCACCTCGGTCTCTCTCTTTCATCCCCCCCCTGTGTGATCCCCACCTGATCATGGCGGCGGGGACCACCAGTTCATCCAGGAGCTGGCCCAGCTGCAGCCGCACGGCCCGGCGGTTCTTCAGCCTCAAGTTCATGGCCACCGACTGCTCCTGCAGCGTCCGGATCTCGGAGCTGATGCTGCTCAGGTCACACTGGAAGGCGCTCAGCATCTGCTCCATGCGCTGGGGACACACACACACAGAGTGCTCACAGAATTGTCAGAGCTGGAAGGGACCTTCTGGAGATCATCCAGTCCAACTCCCTGGCCAAAGCAGGGTTGCCCAGAGCACATCACTCAGGAGCATCCAGGTGGGGCCTGAAGATCTCCAGAGAAGGGGACTCCACACCCTCCCTGGGCAGCCTCTTCCAGGGCTCTGCCACCCTCACCCCAAAGAAGTTCTTCCTCAGATTGGAGGACACATGTTCCAGCTTATGCCCGTTGCCCCTCATCCTGTCACTGGGAACCACTGGAAAGAGTCCATCTCCATCCTCCTTCAACCCACCCTTTAGACACTTAATAAGGTCTCCCCTCAACCTTCTCTTCTCCAGGTTGAAGACCCCCAGCTCTCTCAGCCTTTCCTCATCAAGAAGATGCTCCAACCCCTCCATCATCTCTGGTGCCCTACACTGGACTCTCTCCAGCAGTTCCCAGTTTCTCTTGAACTGGGGAGCTCAAAACTGGACACAGGATTCCAGTTGTGGCCTCCCCAGTGCAGAGCAGAGGGGGAGAATGACCTCCCTCCACCTCCTGGCCACACTCTTCCCTACGTAGCCCAGGATTCCATTGGTCCTCTTGGCCACCAGAGCACACTCCTGGCTCCTGGAGAGTTTCCCATCCACCAGGACCCCCAGATCCTTCTCCTCAGAAGCGCTTTCCAGAAGATCCACCCCCAACCTCTACTGGTGCCTGAGGTTCTTCCTCCCCAGGTGGAAGACCCTACACTTGCCCTTGGTGAACCTCATGAGGTTCTTCTCTGCCCAGCTCTCCAGGTCACGCTGGATGGTGGCACAGCCCTCTGGTGTGTCAGCCTGAGTGTCCTCAGGAGCCACCTTGGGGACATTTGGGGCCACCTCGGGGACATTTGGGGCCACCTCATCCCGCTCCTCACCTCCAGGATGGCGTCGCAGGCCGTGATCTGGTTGTGCAACGAGGCGATGTTCTCGCTCTCCTTGATGTCTGGGAGGGCAGTTCAGGGCCAGGTTGGGGACACAACGGGGGACGTTGGGGACACTCTGGGTCCCCCCCCTCTCTCCCGTGACAGCCACCACCCCCCATGTCCCTCCCCAACCCCTAAGAAGAAGGATACAGTCGCGGATGGAGGCGCGCTCGACCTCCTGCAGCTCCAGCTCCACCTGCTTGGAGTACTGCCGAAGGTCCACACCCTGGGGGGGACACCCGTGTCACCGGGGACACACACACACACACACACACACACAACGCTGTGGGGCTGGGGACGCTATGGGGCTGGGGAAACTATGGGGCAGGGTGTTTGAAGAGGGGGGACACAAGTGCCAACTCACCGTCTTCAGGGCCTCCTGCACCAGAGCGTCCTCCAGGTTGGCCTGGATGTGAACTGGGGAGGGGGGGGGGACACCAG